ACTCATAGGGGTGGAAGTTTTTTGGTCAGCAAAAGTGCCAAACAAACAGTGTTTATTTACAGTGCCTGATTGTCAGTGACATAGCTAAAAGCTGTGTAATGTAGACATATCCTAAAAGTTGGTGCATGTGTATTCTCTTTGTAGGCACTTTCACCGACAAAATACTTCTAGCCCTCAAGTTTTCTAGCCTCTAGCTTTTGCTTTGTGGGTAGGAGAGTGTTCCTCACAAAGCAGCATTCACACTTGCTGCAGCAAAATTTGGGGCACAGATTTTTTTTTTTAAGTGCCCAGGAACAACAAAAGTTTTGTCAATCAATTGCAAGTGTAGATAAAGCCTTAGACTAGGTGTCAGGTCCCTAACAGGCAAATAGGAATAAAATTTGTTGTTCAAGTCCAGGGAACTAAAGTTCATTCACAGTGCATGTTAAGTGTCATTATATTCAAGCCTCTGAAAACTAGGCAAGAGTGTTACAGGATAGCAATTTTCAAAACACTTGAAATATGCATGTGGATTTTAAGAGCATTTTGATATATTGTTTCTTAAAACCAGAATTTTTGCTGAGGTGGGGGTGGGGGGGTAGGAGTGAAACTTACAGGGGATGCCGCTGAAGAATGCAAACAGAGAGCAACTACACCTCACATTCTCAGAAACCTGCCCACATCCACATCTAAACTCCTACTATATAGGTGCTACTTGGGCATGTCCAATTGCCACCCATTTACTGTGATGTCACACTAAACCACATACATTGATTTGCAATAGAATCCCTGCCTGCAGCATATACACAGATGACCATCTGTAGCTTAGCAGCTTGGTTCAAGCCAAATTAAAGATCCAATTTTTATGCAAAGTATTTAAGTACTGCTTTCCAACTGGGCAGAGGTCTCCAAATCCTAGTTGAGATCAATCCTGATTGGATGGTTATCAATTTGAGGAAGATCACAACCACAGTTTGAGCCCCTGGTATGCACAAAAAGTTAGGAACCATAACACTTTTAGGTCATGTGATTTTTTTCCCCCCCCGGGGGGAGGGGGGGTAGGGGAGAGGAGAGAGAGCAAGAAAGCAGAGATCAGAAACCTCTTACTCAAACAACCTCAAATTTGGATCCCCTTCATTTAACCCAGAATCCCTTTCAGCTTCCAAAATAGTGCAAGTGATCATTAGAGCATTTAAGAAACTGGCTATTAAATGGTAAGCTATTGTCATCTTTGATGATAAGGGTGAGACAGCTCATGTAGCACCCTAAGATTTCACACACATGCCTACTTCTGCTTTTCCTTCCCTTACAAAGTGAAGTTGTTACAGAGGTGTTGGAACACTTTTCATAGTAAGGCTGCTCAGAGACATTGAACTAAACTAATCTCGGCATCTAATGGAAACCATTTCAAGCCAGGTGGTGAGTTGTTGAGATCATTAGCGAGTTTAGAGATTCCTTATCCACAGAGTTTAAAAAAAAAATGTCATTTGTACGTACAAATAAGTAACAGATTATTTTCCCCAAGTTTTATTGTGTACAAGAATTTTTGTAAAAGTCTATATGCTGTTTACTCTCATCCAACTTATTTGAACTGTTGCACTCGATCCATGCTATGCAGGTGATCAGGTGTACATGCTTCACCCAGTACTGACTGTCACAGTTCTTATAGTTTCTCATTTAGTATAGGTTAATTTGCCGAGGATATAAATAACTATCAAGCTGTTGACTTGAAACTGGAGTTTTGGGGAGGAGATATGACATTACCACAAAAACTTAAAAAATACTGTGCTCCTTTCATGTACAGACAGTCCCCGGGTTACATGGATCCGACTTACATCAGATCCATACTTACAAATGGGATGAGGCAAGCCCGCACTAGCTGCTTCCCCCCAGCAGACCAGGGAGACGCGAAGCTAGCGCCCACCCCCAGCAGACTAGGGAGACGCGGAGCGGCTTTTCTTAGCAGACACCTCAGCTTGAGAATAAAGGACTGAGGGAAGTGAGGTGTGGGAGAATAAAAACTGAGCTCTGGAGAAATGTTTGGCTAGAGTTTCCCCTACAATATGTACCAGTTCCGACTTGCATACAAGTTCAACTTAAGAACAAACCTACAATCCCTATCTTGTACGTAACCCAGGGACTGCCTGTACTTGCTTTATTTCTTCACACAAATTCATGTTTTTTTTCCAGCCAGATGAGTTGTATTTTGAAGAAGGGGATATCATCTACATTTCAGATATGGTGAGTAGCATTATTTACATGTAGCAGTGGCACATGTAGACTAAACTTAAAATACAATAGACCATTTTTAATTGTCTCCCCCTTTCTTTCCAGAGCGACACAAATTGGTGGAAAGGAACCTGCAAAGGCAGGACTGGACTTATTCCAAGCAACTATGGTAAAGTCTAGAATTTATTCTTCTTTTAGTTGATATGTCACTAACAGTCACAGATATGAAGGAAACTAAAGTAGAAGGCTGTGTCTACATTGGCACCCTTTTCCGGAAAAGGGACGCTAATGAGACAAGTCAGAATTGCAAATGCCGTGGGGGATTTAAATATCCCTCACAGCATTTGCATGAACATGGCTGCCGCTTTTTTCTGGCTCGGGGCTTTGCCGGAGAAAAGCGCCAGTCTAGATGGGATCTTTCGGAAAATAAAGCCTTTTCTGGAAGATCCCTCATTAGCATCTCTTTTCCGGAAAAGGGTGCCAATGTAGAACCAGCCGAAATGTTGAGAGAGAATTTTTTGTTGGACACTGGTAACAATGATGCAATTAAGTTTTCCAGTACCAAAGTACATCAACCTATTTAATCAGCATTTCTCAAGTATGTATAACACCATAGGGAGACACTGTATGTAGATTTTACAAAAATACAAACGTGTGAGACTATCTAGACAGGGGGACAGTTCTCTGTCCTACTTCTTGCTTTAACTATTGGTTCCCCCTCTTTGAGTATGCTGTCAGGTTTTGTTCTGATACTTTGGGGAATGCCGTAACTAATGTGATCTTAAAAGATTAACCCTGTCCTGGATAGGAGTGACTATTCTATATAGCCCTTTGTGGAAGAGTTTAAAGGCTACAGCTGACTTATTTTGACACCTTCAGTCCATACATATCTGTCAAAGAGGACACCTGCCTTATAGCACCCCCTTCTGACCAAGAGGCTCATCAAAGGCTCACATGAGTTTCTTCTTAACTCAGGCTCCATTAAGGCTAAGCAGTTGATATATAAAAACAAAGCAAGAACAAAAATCCCTGATTGCAGTCTAGTTTATTAAGTCCTACACAAAGTCTTCAAAAATAGAAGACTGTGTAAGCCTGAGTTCATCCTTTAGTGCCTGTCCTCTCTTAAAAGTTCCCTTCTTTCAGCCCAGTCACAATTTGGGCACAGCCCTTCCTCCCGGAGGGTTTGTCTTCCTGCTTTCCAGTACTTCTTGTATGGAGTTAGGCCTTTTCCCTATTAACTCAGGGTCCTGCAGGAGTCTTCTTACTCACTGGATTTTCTGCAGACATCTGAGAACCAATCTGCAGCTGTCTCCCTCTTTTGTGAAGTCCATATGCTGTCCTAGAAGGCCAACAGGTAATTGGGCTAGGTACTGTGAGCCCTGTTCCCTTTCTTGCAGGAGCCAGTCACTGTGAAAATGTATCTTTTACATAAATTGTGGTGGACAATCAACTACTGTGACGGTTCTCAGAAAATGTTTGAGATAGCATGAGCCTATTGCTTGAAAGAGATTTATAAATCAACACTAGAATTTCTAGGTTTCTCCAATAACGAATAGGGAGCAAAAACACTGATACTCTGCATTTTGAATTGGGCTTCCTGTATCTTTAAGAAATGAACCATTGAGAGTACTGATGATAGGGAGATCTTAAGTGCCAGAATACTTGTATCATTACCAGGAATTGAGAAAAAAAAAAAAAAGGGTCATATGGAAATAGTAAAATATAATGGGGGTTTAAAAAAAAAAATCAGGCTTTTGGAGAAATATAATCCACATAGAATATAAAAGTAAAGTTATAGATCACGTTTTATAGTTCCTTTGCTGTAGTGTATAATTAAGAAATTCTATTTGCAGAGTGACTAAGTTACAATGATCAAATTTTGCTTCTCTCTCCCTAGATTCATTGTTTAACACTTACGTGCACAATCAGATTTGCACTTTTGCTTTGCTGAAGGTTAATTAAATACTTTGGCATAGGAAACAAGGCAGTTATAAAGGGAAAGACCAAAGAAGGTTTGGATGGGGGCAAGGATTTGACAATGGAATTAAAGAACGTTCATATAGAGTGGAGACTGCTAGCCCCAGGTTCCATAGAATGCCATTGTCATGTTCCCCAAAATTGCCTAATGTTTGAATCACTTTCCATTTGCAAACCAACTTCCTGCTGCTCTGCTGTGGAGTTTCACGAGCTTAGCCATTTCCCACAGCAACAACATACTGCCCAGGGTCACCAAACACACTTGCTTTAACCTGGGCATCTGGAGTTCATTCTTCACCACCCGCTGATCTTCACCAACACCAGTCAATGCCTCATTTCAAGTCTTAGGCTTTGTCTACACTACATGGTTTTTGCGCAAGCAGCTTTTTGCAAAAGAGATCTTCCCCAAAAACTTCTTGCGCAAAAGTGCGTCCACACCTCAAACACGCATCGCAAAAGCACAAAAAGGCATGCATGGACGCTCTTGCGCAAGAAAGCTCTGATTGCCATTAACAGAATGGCCATCAGAGCACCTGTGTTTTTTCTCTGATAGGCTCTTTTTGCGCAAGAAACCTCTGCAGAGCATCCACACAAGCCTTTTTGCATGAGAGCTGTAGCACAAAAAGGAGTTATTCCTTGTGAGGGAGAGGACTAACTCTACCCGCAAAAGCCCTCTATCCTGTTGATTTATTGGTTGGCTTGTTTGGGGGGTTTTTTTGCACAAAAACGCGCTTGAGATGTGGACACTCTGCAGTTTTTACACAAAAGGGGCCGTTTTTGCGCAAAGGCCTAGTAGTATAGACATAGCCTTAGTGAGAGAGAGCCTCACAAAAAATGCAGACTTCATAGTGCAGGTCTCTAGATACTGGTATTCAGCTCATTACAGTCATACTGTCGTTCCACAAGCTTATATTAGGCTCAGGAAAAAAAAAAAAAAAAAAAAAAAAA